CTTGGTTTGAGACGATAATTATAAACAAATTATGTGAGTTGTCATCTATGTGCTGGCCACGCATAGTTGATGATTTATATGATATAACCGGGTTGAGTAGATACCCAGAGCCTGCAAGCACAGGTTTAATCAGTAATGTATTAATCCTTAGACGCATGGGGGTATTTTCTTGATCTTGGTTTGAGACGATAATTATAAACAAATTATGTGAGTTGTCATCTATGTGCTGGCCACGCATAGTTGATGATTTATATGATATAACCGGGTTGAGTAGATACCCAGAGCCTGCAAGCACAGGTTTAATCAGTAATGTATTAATCCTTAGACGCATGGGGGTATTTTCTTGATCTTGGTTTGAGACGATAATTATAAACAAATTATGTGAGTTGTCATCTATGTGCTGGCCACGCATAGTTGATGATTTTACATGATATAATCTGATGGGTGTGCGCACATAAATTATTTTAAGGAATACGTTTATCTAGGATCTACTAATTATAATTTATTTTTCTGCACTAGTTTGATGACGCTTTCGAAGGGGTGTGTAGTCTTCGAGATATTGATTTGATGAAACAGGGTGAACAGGTATCCACTGAAGAGATTAAAACGAATTTGCGGAAACTAAAGTTGAATCTTGGTAACAGTACGCCCCATATGCTAAAAAATTGCTCAAATATCTTAAAAAAATTAAATCTTAATTATACGGCGCTTATCTGAGGAGGCGGAAGATGAATATAATCATTATATGGAGCCAGTAAAACGTATGGAGGGAACAACTCCTCTTTTGTAATTATTATGATTTTAATAATAATAATAATAATAATAATAATTAAAAAAAAGATTAGTTTAGATTATTGAAAAGTTTTTTAATTAAAATATAGAATAATTTGTCATAATAAATAAAAATAATTTTAAATTAAATATTAATTTGATAAGAATTTTCTTTAATTTTTTTTAAAAAAAAACTAGTATAAGAAAAAGAAAAAAGACTTCAAATTACTTCTAGCAAAAGAATACTTCAATATTTTACTTTTTTGCTTTATTTAATTATTTAATTTGTTTTAGTATTATACAATATGAAACATATAAAAGTATATGTTTGTTTATATATTTATTAACTAGTTTAAGATTTTAATCAATTATTAATTAAAATTTTTAATATAACAAAAATTTTAAAATCAAATTGAAGTAGGTAAAATTTTTTAAAAAATTAAAAATTTTGTTAATATTTTTTTTTCAACTAGTTAAGCCTTGTCTAATATACTTTATTTAGTTTATATTTATATTTTATACAAGAATTATTATTTATAAGCTATTCTAAATACATGTTAAACTATATCAAATTTCTTTTATATTGACTTGTTGCTATTGATTTATCTTTTAAATATACTGTATATCAAACTAATATATTAAGACTTCACTAGTATTGTTATTATATAAAAAATAAAAAATAATTATATTTTTTTCTTGATCTAGTTAGTTTTTTAGTAGTTTTTATTATATAATTAGTATTTTTTTTTGTTTGTTAATCTTTTTTTATAGATTTAAAGATGTTATAAATTAATTAATCTATTTGTTTTTTCTTTTTTTTCATTGTTGAAATTATTTATATTTTTATATTCAAATTTTATAAAGCTCTTCTATTATTCTATTTGTAACTATTTTAAATATATTTTTTATTTTTATTTCATTTAAATATTTAACTAACTTTATTAGATTCTTGTTATAAATTTTTTTGATTATATGTTTTAGGTTTTTTTTTTATTTATTAATAATAAGTTTCAATTGATTATATTAGTTATATTTCTTTTTTTTTTCTATTCTACTTAATATTTTCTCTTTCAAAATGTTAATATATTTTGTTCTAATCTGATCATCATAGTATTTAATAAAGACATACTTAATATTTTCTTAATTATTATATTATATAAAGTTGTCATCCTTATACAAGTCTAATATTCTTATATTCAATTTGTTTTTTGTTAGTAATTTATTAATTAAAAGTTTATATTTAAATATTCTATTGTTATAATCTTGTTAACTAATATTAAAACTAATAATTTTGGATAGTAGCAAGCTGGTCTATATTTTTTTTAAGTTTATTTCTTTCTTATCTTTTGATTTGAATTATGTTTTATATTTTCTTTATATAATTTATATAATTATTTACTTATTATTTTGCTATTGTTTTATAAATACATTAATTTTTATATCTAGATTATTCTTGTATCATTTAAGCATATATTTCATACTTGTTATCTATTGGCTATTAATTTTAATAATCCATTTATATTTTAACTCTTTTTCAATTTTAACTAGTTTATTTGTTTGCTCATTGTTTCTATTTTTTTACATATTCTTTAATCTTTTTAAGATTAATTAATATCTCTTTAACTTGGATTTTGTTTATTATTAGTAATATTATTATAAAATTGATACTTTTTGTAATTCTTTTCTTTTGAGTAATTTTGAATTCAATTATATAGATTATATTTAGCTTTTTGTATATATTATTGATTTGGTTTTTGAATTAAAAAGTATTGGTGTGAGCCCCAGATTTGATAGTATATACCAACTATAGGAACAACACTTAGAATATTTATTAGGAAGTATACATATGTGCGAAAGCTACACAGCTGCATGAATCAAAAACAATGTGATTGACAAGATGATTTGCAGAAGATTAACATGTGCTTGGTAAAAATTGTCCTTCACAAATCCAGCTATGGACCTACCCACGTGGTACAAGTTGGTATCTAAGTAATTAAAGTGAATTGATAATGGTTAAACTTACAGTTAGTAATAATATTAGTATATATAAGATCACAATGTATGATTCGAATACAATAATTCAATAAAAACCATAGTATTAAGTATCCATTCACCTTAAAAATAAAAAATAAAAAAAATAAAAAGTATTGGTGTTATAAGAATTGTTAATAGATCTGTTCTTATAAAAAATATAAATTTTTTATACCTGTCTTTGAATCTGTTTATTTTTTATATTTTTAAATTAACAATTATTTCATTTATTTTCATTTAATATATATATTATTGTATTTTTCTAGTAATTCATTTATATATATGTTTATTGCCTTTTAGTTTTATATATGTTTCTTAATTCTTTATAATTCTTCTAGGATTTAATATTAAAGTTTGAATTCTAATAATACATTTATGATTTTTGATCTCATTTCTTTATTTTTAATGATGTTTATAGTATAGTACAAAAAAATTTTGAATTTTTTATTTATTCATTACTTAAAAATTATTATATAGAAATTAATAAAAAATATATTAAAATAAAGTCAAAAATCTAAAGATTTTATTAATATATAATTAATAATTGATTCTTTTACCATTATTTTCAATATTAATTTACATCTCTCTTTCATTGAATCTATAAAATTATTTAAAATCTTATTTGAAATTTTATTTTATTTTTCTATTATAAATTGTTCTAATTTTAAAATATTTTTTAATAATCTCATTTCTATATTTCTTTTAATAATAGTTTAAAGATTTTCAATAAGATTTAAATCTGGACTGTTAAAAGACTAATCAATAATTTCAAAAAAATTTTCATTTAAAAATGCTTTAACAGTTTTATTTATATACTTGAAATTATTATTTTGTTGAAAGTATCAATTGTTTTCAAGTAATCTATTAATTTCTTGTTTATGATTTTGCAAAATATTAATATAAAATTTTGTATTTATAATTTCTTTAAAACAAAAAAAAAAAGTTTTTTCTTTTGTATAAAATTCTTCCTATGCAAAAATATTAATACAATCTTTAGGTATTTTCTAACTGGTCTTATATCTTTATACTATTGAGTAATTGTATATCTGAATAGTTGAAATACTGTTTCATCAGAAAATAATGTTTTTTTCCAGTTATCATTAAGATATTTTTTTATTTAAATAATATAAGCTTTTTTATAAGCAATAGTAAGTATAAGTATTTTTAAAAATAAATTATTTTTGTAATCCAAATTGGTTAAATGTTTTAAAATTGTTAAATATAATACTTTAATATTAATATTTGATAATTTAATTGTTAAAATTCTTGAGGTAAGTCTTGAATTATGATATAAATATTGATTAATTGCTTTTGATTTATGTACTGTAATCTTTTTAGAATAATTACTATCAGATTTTCTTGAATTATTACTTTTGAATTATTGTTTTTTAAATTCAATTTTTTGAGATTGTAATAGATAGTTGATATGTTTATACCAGTTTTGAAATATATTTCATATTCAAAAGTAATTTCATTATTCACAAATATAATATAATTTGTTGTTAAGTATTTTTTTTAAAAGATAATATTGTAAGAATAAGTTTGTAACAAAAAAAAATAATCAAATAATTTTAAGTATTTACACTATATGGACAAAAGTATTGCATATCTTAAATTTATTATTACATAAAAATATACATAATAATTTTATTTGAAATTTTAATATATTATTTATTATGTTTTGAATATATTTATATATAATTTTTATATTTTTTTAATAAATATTTATCAAATTAAATACAAATAAATTAATACTTTTAATTTTTAATTTTAAAAATATACTATTTTAATAAAAATATCATATATTTTAAATTTATTATTGTGTAAAAATTTATATAATAATTATACTTCAAATTTTAATATGTTATTATTTATATTTCATAAAAATATATTTGTAATTTAGACCTGTGGATCCATAGTATAGTGGTTAGTGCTCCACAGGTCAAATCACAAGATACCAGTTCAAATCCTCCAGGAGGCTAATATGATTCTCCTTATAAAAAAGAAAGTAGCTGGTAGGACCTGTATCCATTGGTGTAACTGTAAACTAACCGATGTTTCTTAATATAAATACTGGTTATACAAAAGATTATGATCCGGTTGAATGTCCAAAATTGGATAGGATTATTCTTGACACAACTGCATTATCAAATGGTAATAAGAAGAATAGATCCCAAACCGGTAGCATACCACTAGTGGAGAAGTTTACGTGACCCGAAAGGGCAAATCAAAACTGCTGGTAGGCTTCAAGTCCAATCAAGTACATAGCTGTGCCATGTTTTATAGACTTTACTATCGGGAGGCCTTGGTGGGAGAAGAAATTTGTGGACCACTCCGAGAACCGAAAACCAGGATTCAGGATACTGTAATCAACGGTCTGATAATCAGACTACTCTTACTGTAAATAAAAGTGTTCTGGGAAAAATTAAGAAGGATTCGTGCATCTTTCTGAGTTTAGCAGGGACTGGAGATCTCTCCTAAATAAAGTAGTGATTGTACATAGCATTACATAGGGTAGATATATAGCTATTCATATATAAATAGATCTACTATAAACATATATGTATATCACTTGTTAATGTATGTAACTTAAGATATATTGTAGTAGTA